ACTCAAAAGACTGTTGCTCTGGGGACGGTGTACTTTTGCATGGTTTTTATTTATATATTTTTTTTCATTTGCATGGTGGGGGGTCTGCCTAGTGTGGCTATAGTTCCACTGGTAGTGTTTGGTGGCCCTCTGCTAGGCCCCCTGTGATTGTTCATGTTGCAGGGGTTTTCAGTCTTAGCATCTACCCCCTGTTAGCTTTGGGTGTTAACCGGCTAGCGACACCTTGCCCGGGCTTCCTGTAGCAGTCAGCCTACGGGCCCTGGAAAACCCTGTCGGGGCTCGGTGGACCACTGGACGTGTTTTCCGGGTTCCAACCTGTCTTGTGTGGGTTCGTTGGTTGCTGTGCCCTTGTATCAGGGTGACAGTTGCCTCTTTTACCTCCATCATGCTGCATGTTGGGTCACTGACACCTTGACCCAGAGTCTTGCAAGATGTGTTCTCTGCTTGTTCTCCAGTACTATTCTGATGTCCTTACTGTTCAGAGTACAGGCGGCATCCGCATTGCAAGCTTGGTTTTGGTTGCTGCAACACACTAGGTTGGTTTCCCACCTGGATGCCCTGGGGGCCGCCCCATTTTGGCTAGGTGGTGTTCGCCCCTTTCCCCTCCCTGTTCTCTGCTCCTTGACCATTTGCGGGTTTCAGAGTTGGGGCGGGGTTTAGTAGGTGCCGAGACTCGGGCGGCTTCGGGGACTGCCCTGTTCGGGTTGGAGACGGAGGTTTTCGAGCCTGTTCCTCCTGCCAAGGCTTCTGGGTCTTACCAGCGGCCTTTTCTTTGCTGCCTTTCCTCTGGACTCTTCCTTTTCTTTAAGGGCAGAGGGCATTGCGGACTACTTTGCCCCAGGGCCTTCTGTTGCAGGTTTCTGGGGCTGTGGGGGATGCCTACCTTGAGGTTACCTTGAGGTGCTTCCGGGGCTTAGCGTCCCCGCGGCCCGGTCGTCGACCAGGCCTCCTGGTTGCCGGACTGATCAACCAGGCTGTTGGACGCGGCTGCTCGCAGCCTGACGTATGAGTCACAGCCTGGTTGATCAGGTATCCTTTGGAGGTGCTTATCCAGTTCTCTCTTAAACACTGTGAGGGGTCGGCCAGTTATGCCCCTTATGTGTAGTACTGCCTGCTAGCAGTTCTGGGGCTGTTTGCCCCTGCCTGGGTTTTCTGCTTCTGGGTGGGGTTTTTCGCCCTTCTCATCTGCTTATTTCCCACATTTGCTGGCGTTTTTTCAGATCTATTGCATTGGTCATGGCTCCCTGTTCTGGTGCCCATTTTTTTTCTGTGGGTTGCCCCACTTGGCCACCGCCGGCTCTGCCATTTGTTTACCTGTGCCTGGGTGTGTGAGCTCACATTTTGGGTATTTTTTCACCTCCTTCAAGGGTTTTTCCTCCTGTTGCCATTTCTTTGCTTTTTCTGGGGTGTTCTGCCCGTCTTCTGTTCCTCTGGGAATGCTTGGGTGTTGGTTTTTACACAGGTTTTTGCATTTTCTGTCTGTTTGGGTCTGGGCTCAGGGGTTTTGGGCTCAGTGTCCCTGTCTGTTTATGCTTGCTCCCACACCTTGTTTCCGATTTTCGGTCCGTTTTGGCCCTTTCCCTGGGGGTTCTGTCTGGGTGCTGTGCTTTGCCTTTTCTGTGGTGTATTTCCGCCGGTAAATGTGGTGGTTTGGGCTCTCCTGGGTTCGATTCCGGGTTCCTTTGGGTTCTTTGGTTTTGTTCCAGAGGTTTGTTCCTCTTGGGCCCTCTTTGTGGGTTCGGAGGGCTTTTGGCTTTTAGTTACCTGATGTGTGACCCAGTTCTGCCTTCTGGGGTTCTGGAGTCTTCCTGGCTTGCAGGATGATCTTTTGGGTCTTGGCACGTGTTGTGGTCGTGCCGGGGCCTTGGTTTTTTGTTGTCGAGGTGGGCCTTTTTGTGCAGTTTTTGTACTCTCTTCATGCCTTCTTCGTCTGGCCGGCGCTGTGCTCTGCCTACCAGTCGGCAGCTTGTCTTTTTCTTTCTTTATATTTTTATTTTCATGTATATATATATATATATATCTATATATGCATTTTGTGTATGCATATATATTTGTATACATTTTCTTTTGAAAGGAGCTCTGCTCCCTTCACTGTTGACGGGGCATTGGGGGGAGGCGACTTGTTCTGTAGCTCTCGCTAGGTCCCACAGTTCGTGGGCATTTTTGGTTGTCTTCCGGCCTGTGGGGCTTCTTCCCCTGTGCTTCGTCATATAATCTTGGTGCGTTTGGACATGGTCGATCTGCCCCATTCTTCTGGGGTTCCCATTTGTTCCAATGCCGACGTGTTCATGGACAGGTTGTCTCTCTGCTGGGGCTTTGTGATCAGTGCTCACCAGGCCAGCCGGGGATGGTGGAGTCCATCCTTCCGTCGAGCTCACAGCACGGTTCGGGTGTTCGTGGCCGTCTGGTTGGTGCTTTAGAAGATTAGAGTCCCTCAGGGCTCTACCATCCGGCTCCATATGAACTGTTTGCTGGTGATTCATTGCCAGAACCACAAGGTGTTCTCTTCGGTCCTTGCCTCTTTGGGGTTGGTCCCTTTGTGTGGCCTGTCTGCTGGTTTCTTGGGGTTTGGCTCTCTGTGCGGTTCATGTCCGGGGCGTGTCCAACGTCCTGGCAGACGGCCTGTCTTGGATCATTCCTCTGTTCACAGAATGGACGGTTGATGCCGACTCGTTTCGTTTGCTCTGCCGGGCATACGGATTCCTGGACATGGCATTGACATCTTTGCGTCAGCATGGTTATGGCATCTCCCATTCTCTGTGGCGCCTTTCCCCACCTGCAAGGCATTTGTGGTAGATGCCATTCGGCAGGACTGGTCACGGTGGAGTTACCTGTACCTCTTCTCCCCAGTCCAGCTGTTGCTTTGGGTTCTGGCTCGGAGTCTTTCCCAAGGCGAGTAGTCCTCATGGCCCCTTGGTGGCCGGCCCAGCTTGTTTTCAGGCACTACTTGCTTGGTGTCCGAACCCGGGGCATTTCTCGCAGCTCCACCTCATTCGGCAGGTCGGACTGATCCGGTACGTGGCTGGTTTGGCCGTCTCCTCTGATCTTCACGTCTGGTCTTTTTGATGCAGGTGTTGGTCAGGTGACGTCTTTGATGGTGTCCTACTTGCGAGCTTCGTCTCGGCGACCGTATGAAGTTTCCTGGAGTTTCTTTTCGCCATTTTCTTGCTCTTCGTAGGTTGTCTTCTCTCTTGGATTGGGTTGTCTTATCCTTTCATGGTTTTCAGAACCGTCATTGATGCTTCTTCCTGTCACCTCATATCGTGCAGCTCTCCCATCCCCCAAACGGGGATGGGAGAGCTGTGCGGACGAGCTTCGCGGCAGTAGAGTTACGTTTGCTTGTTTCCTTGGGATTGTTGGGAGTTCTACCTCTGTTTGGTTTTTGTTGTTTCTTACCATGTGGGGTTTGTTTTGTTATGCCTACCTTTCTGGGTGTCTAACTCCTGTTGACTGCAGATAAGGAAAATCCCCAACCACAGGGGGGTTTTCCAGGGCCATTGCTCCCTGAAACCTCTCTGAAGGGGCCAGGTTCTGGTGCATGGTCCCTGATAGGTCTGAACTCCACAGCTAATTTCCCAGTCTAATATAACATGCATTTGCCCGATAAGCTCCAGGGAGCCTCTGGGGCTCACCCAGAAAATGGCATTTCATTATATTCAAAGCTGTTTTTTTTGCTATCTCTTGCCTCCAATTGTCGAGTTTGTGTGCTTCATGCTCATCATGTCGACAACTCCAGAGTTGGGGGTTCTGCTTTTTTGGTCATGTGTGCATTTTCTTTATTTGCAACAATCTTCTTTTCTAGCAAAAATAAAAATGAGTTGGCAGGCTTCAAGAGGTGTCTTTTGATTATTAATTCTTGGTTGTTTTGGCCAGGGGTGCAGCGTTTGTCGTGTTCAGTGGTGGCAGTTCATCGCTACCTACATGCCACTGCTTCAGCTTCGGTGGACACTCTTTGGGTTGTTCGGGTCTTCTTGGTCCCCTGTTCAAAGGCTCATATTTCTCAGGTTGTCTGCAGTGCAATTAAGGCTAGCCAGCCTGCGGTCTGTCCTTGGGCCCATGATGTTTGCAAATATAGAGCACTTCTCTACTGCATCTTGGGCAGATATTTGAGCTCGAGTGTTTTGGTGTAGTAACAGGGTAATGATAGCCAGGTATTTAGTCAATGTCTCTGGTACTCTTTGGTCCTCTGTTGCCCTGAGTTGTATTTCCCAGCCATTGGTCTGTACCTTGGTTTACGTGCCTGCTGCCACTTCCTCCTCTCTGGCAAGTCCCTATATTTTTTCAATGGTTATTCAGCTGCAGGTAGCCACCAAAGGGCTACCCAATAAATCAAGCATTATATGTAATGAAATGCCTGTTTTTAGTAGAACCCTGGTGGGTCCGTGTTTCCCTCCCACGTTTCTGTGTTTGTCAGTTTATTGCAAGGTTTTATCCACTCCAGAACTGAGTCTTGTGAACCCAGCAGTTGTCTGTAGAACTTCACTGACTTTTGGATGCTTTTCTGGTGAAATTGTGGAATGTCACTTGCTTTTTGTGCCTCAAGTGATTGGATCAGGTTCTGGCACTGGTCCCCAGTAGGACAAACTTAACTCATGCAATTGATGTGACTTGTTGGAGCAGTCTTACTGTGATAGCTACAGGGAGCCACCATGGTTGTACTGGAAAGAAGCACTTCATTACATTCAACACTGGGTGTTTATTTTAAATACTGTAAATCTAAAGGGCTAAAAATAATTGTTAGCACAACAATTCTTTGTGTCCCACAAGTAGGTAAACTTCAAAAGTATAAAATTAAAGTATTTTATCTTTTTGTTTTATTACATTGTGGGTTTTACTTTACCAAGTGCATTACTGTATTTATAATTATTTATAAACATAACTCTGCATCTTTTTTATTACATATTTAAAGGAATTTGTTAAAGCAATAAAATCACATAATGTAATATAAATTGTTATTGTAATACATAGCTATATGTGTTGACACCATTAATGTATTTCAGCTATTGAACCATTTAAAGAAGGGCAACTCTCAGAAATGATAGTTAAAAAGCTTCTGAATCAAGATGTTATTCACAGTATAAAGTTGCGGAACAAGGAACATTCCAAAACTGATCAGCATACCTTCATATACACACAGGTGTGTAGCAGTCCCAGTTATTGATATGCTCTTCTTACTCTATTGTCACACACTTTTAACATTCATTTTTGCCAGAATGTTTACATGTTTTCTGTGGAGAGCCCCTTCGGCTCTCCGGAGCTATACTGGGCTGATGTGTATATATTAGACCGTGGTAACAGTTAATCGATGGAGTTCTATGCCTACCGAGGACCAGCGCCAGAACCTGGCCCCCCTCAGAGAGGCACAAGGAGCAATGACCTATTGACACCCCCGTGTAATTGAAAGCAGTCTGTCTGCCATCTACCAGCTCAGGCACCCAGAAAGGTAGAAATTCCAAAACAAAGTACAGCGGGTTAATAATTGCAAACTGAAATCCGAACTAGCAAGCAGTTCTAATCGAATTGAATTCCCCAATCGAAAACAAGAATGACATCACCACAGTTGCCGTGCTGCTGTCTGCGCAACTCCCCCCTTTAGTGGGATGGAGGAGGGGGGGGGGGCTAGACCTCTCGCACCGGCAACCCAACCCCAGTTCATAGGCTCTTGTGTTGTGATAGTTGATCGACTCTGGTTGCATCCTTTTGAGCAGTGCTGTCCATAGCATTGTTTTTCTACTGTGTGGTGGTGTGCAAGCCTGGATTAACACGAGTACTGGGGCGGCATGCACCTAGAGCCACCTTCCCTAGGTGCCTTGTTAGTACTGCCTTGCTGTTTAGGGTTATCTTCCATGAGCAGGTCGGGAGACTACCTCCACTTGGTTCTGTTGCTGCTGGGTGATTGGCCACCTTTGGGGTCAGCTGGGTTGGTTATTACTCCTGTTTGACCTTGTGTAGGAGGTATTATCGTCGCTGGCTGGGGCGTAAGGTACTGTGCAGTTGTCTGACATATGCAAATCAACCGATTCCGTTCCCCTGGAGACTTGCTTTTGTGGGTTTTTTGTTTTTTTGTTTTTTGTTTTGCCTGGTGGGGCTGTAGGACCACTTGTATGATTTTGGTGGCCCTCCACTAGGTCCCCGTACTTGCACACGTCACAGGGGTTCAGCTTTTAGTTTGTTTGCTTGGCAGCTTTGGGATAACCGGTTAGCAGTACCTTGCCTGGGCTTCCTTTTGCAGTCAGCTTAAGGGTCCTGGAAATCCCCATTGGGGCTCATTGGTTTGATGGAGGAGACCTCCGAGACCTTCCTGCAAGTTTGAAGTTTGCTCTATTTCTTTGTTTCAGGCTGACACTCACCATCTTTGTCTTTGCCATGCTGCCTGTTGAGTCTACGGGAAGCCCGGGCAAGGTGTTGCTAACCGGTTAAGAAACCCAAACAAAACAAGGGGTAAATGATAATACTGAAAACCCCTGGGACATGTACAAGCACGGGGGCCTAGTAGAGGGCCACAAAACAATAAATACCAAGGGAACTATAGACCCACGAGGTAGAACCTCCACCAGGCAAACAAAAACAAAAAAGAAAAACCCTGCAAAAGTACACCGTCCCCAGAGGCAACAGGAACCGGTCGCCACTTAGGTGGCAGGCCGTGCAACACTTTGATGCCCTAACCAGCACAATACCACTCCCTACCCAAGGCCAAACAAGGGCCCCAAGCCCCAGCTGGCCCTAAGGGCAAGGCAAATGCTGAGCAGCAAGAACCCCTACGGGAGCGGTTCCCGAATGCACTAGAGAAGATGACCCTAACACACAGGGTGCCTAGGGAAGGAAGCCCCTAAGCGCATGCAGCCCCGGCACTGATAAAATACTACTGGCCACCGCACACCACACAAAAACAGCAGAGAACGCCACACGAGGCACACACAGCCCAGGAATCTGAGGCCAGAGAAGCGTTCATACCGGTTGACACTAGCTTGCGAACTGAAGGCAGCCAGCGTGGTGAAGTCCGGCCCCCCCCCTCCCTCTCCCTGGGAGGGGAGGACTGCACGGATGACTGACACGGCAGTAAATTGATTGTTTAATTGTTTCCTTGGGATTGTAGGGAGTTTTCTACATCTCTGTTCGGTTTTTGTTGTAGTTTCTTACCATGTGGGGTTTGTTTTGTTACACCTACCTTTCTGGGTGCCTAACCCTGGTCGATGGCAGATAAGGAAAACCCCCCAACCACAATGGGGTTTTCCCAGGACCATTGCTCCCTGAAACCTCTCTGAATGGGCCAAGTTCTGGCGCTGGTCCCTGGTAGGTCTGAACTCCATAGCTAATGTCCCGGTCTAACATAACATACATTAGCCCGATAAGCTCCAGGGAGCCTCCGGGGCTCACCCAGAAAATGGCGTTTCATTACATTCAACTCTGGTTTTTCTCTGGGAGTGGGACTTCTCCGTCATGTCGGGGTTATGTTCCCCTCTTATCGGGGTTCTGCATGACTTTTGATCTCGAGTGCGACTGTGCCTTTATGAGCCTTCGTGATTTTGTGCTTGCTTCTATAAGATCTCATGGGTTCGGGAAGGTCTTCGATTCTTCACGTATTATTGGAACATCTGTCTTCTTGATTCTTGAGGTTATCTTGAGATGATTTCGGGGCTTTTTAGTGTCCCCGCGGCCCGGTCCTCGACCAGGCCTCCACCCTTAGGAAGCAGCGTGTGACAGCTGACTAACACCCAGGTACCTATTTTACTGCTAGGTAACAGGGGCATAGGGTGAAAGAAACTCTGCCCATTGTTTCTCGCCGGCGCCTGGGATCGCACCCAGGACCTCAGGATCACAAGTCCAGCATGCTGTCTGCTCGGCTGACCGGCACTCATCTTCCGGTGAAGCTTATCTCCAGTCCTTTTTTGAACTCGTTGGTCCTCTTCCGTGCTTCTTCTTGGTTTTCGATATTGACTAGTTCTTTGGTCATTATATCTTTTCTTCATGCTCTGTCTAGGCACTGCTAATATTCCTTCAATACTCTTAGTTGGCACCCTCCCCGCCAGGCGGGATTGTGCGGATCGGACCTCATGTGTCCTGCACAGTGGGAGTTTTTGTTATGGACGGTGTACATAAGTGCTGGTGTTCTGTGTCCTTTTTCTTTCGGGTGCTTCACCTCTCTCGCTCCTCTCATCTTTCCAGTCCGTGCCCCATAGATACTGAGGGTGTTCTGGATTTCCAATATGGGGAGGACGCCCCGTTTTCTGTGCATACATTTGGCGCCGCATTTGCCTCTACCCTACTCCTCTCCTGCATGTGCGGGGCTCTGGCTTTATTCCACTGGCGGTGCTCCCGGAATATTCTCGGCTACGATGTGTCGTGACACATTCGTGCCTACGCTCTGCAGGTGAGTTATGCGGTTGGGTGTCTTTTTCGACCAGGAGCTGGTTCGTGGTTTTTGGGTGCATGTTAGGGGTTGGTTGTGGTGTTTTGTTTGGCCCCTTGCATGCTTCTTTCTGTGGCCTTTCTTGTTCATCTGTGTTATTTGTTACATGGTGGGGCACGGCCACATCTTTCGTGGTCTTATCTTGGTCACATATTACTTGACCATCTTGCAGCGCCTGGCTTAGCCCTTCCATATCCATTCGATACCTGTACTCGCCTCGTTGTCCTCGCCTAGTTGTGCTTGCACCCGAGGTTTTCCCGTGGCTCCGCCTCTTCCTATGCTCGATTGGTCCGTGGCAGGGCTGGTTCAATTATGCCTCGAGTCTCTCTCCATATGTTGGTGTTCAGGTGGCTTCGTTGATGGTGTACCACCTGCATGCTTTGTCGTGGTGGTGGTGGTGGTGGTGTGTGTGTGTGTAATTACCTAAGTGTAGTTACAGGATGAGAGCTATGCTCGTGGTGTCCCGTCTTCTCAGCACTCTTTGTCATATAACGCTTTGAAACTACTGACGGTCTTGGCCTCCACTACCTTCTCACTTAACTTGTTCCAACCGTCTACCACTCTATTTGCGAAGGTGAATTTTCTTATATTTCTTTGGCATCTGTGTTTAGCTAGTTTAAATCTATGACCTCTTGTTCTTGAAGTGCCAGGTCTCAGGAAATCTTCCCTGTCGATTTTATCAATTCCTGTTACTATTTTGTATGTAGTGATCATATCATCTCTTTTTCTTCTGTCTTCTAGTTTTGGCATGTTTAATGCTTCTAACCTCTCCTCGTAGCTCTTACCCTTCAGTTCTGGGAGCCACTTAGTAGCATGTCTTTGCACTTTTTCCAGTTTGTTGATGTGCTTCTTAAGATATGGGCACCACACAACAGCTGCATATTCTAGCTTTGGCCTAACAAAAGTCATGAACAATTTCTTTAGTATATCGCCATCCATGTATTTAAATGCAATTCTGAAGTTAGAAAGCATAGCATAGGCTCCTTGCACAGTATTCTTTATGTGGTCCTCAGGTGATAGTTTTCTATCTAGAACCACCCCTAGATCTCTTTCTTTATCAGAATTCTTTAAAGATTTCTCACATAATATATAGGTTTTGTGGGGTCTATGTTCTCCTATTCCACATTCCATAACATGACATTTATTAACATTAAATTCCATTTGCCAAGTGGTGCTCCATCTACTTATTTTGTCCAGGTCTTCTTGAAGGGCATGACAATCATCTAAATTTCTTATCCTTCCTATTATCTTAGCATCATCAGCAAACATGTTCATATAATTCTGTATACCAACTGGTAGATCATTTATGTACACAATAAACATCACTGGCGCAAGAACTGAACCCTGTGGTACTCCACTTGTGACATTTCTCCATTCCGATACATTGCCTCTGATTACTGCCCTCATTTTTCTATCAGTCAGAAAATTTTTCATCCATGATAGAAGCTTACCTGTCACCCCTCCAATATTTTCCAGTTTCCAGAACAACCTCTTATGTGGAACTCTGTCGAAAGCCTTTTTTAGGTCCAGATAGATGCAGTCAACCCAACCATCTCTTTCCTGTAATATCTCTGTGGCTCGATCATAGAAGCTGAGTAAATTCGATACACAGGATCTTCCAGATCGAAAACCATACTGTCTGTCTGATATTATATCATTTCTCTCTAGGTGTTCTACCCATTTAGTTTTGATTAGTTTTTCCAATACTTTCACTATTACACTTGTCA